TGTAGAAGCTGCTAAATCTTGTGTTATCCTGATTGTGTTTCCACAATCCTTGAAGTGTTTCTTTCTGGCTGCTTGTAATATTTTCTCCTTTACTTGGGAACACTGGAATTTGGCTACAATATTCCTAGGAGTTTTCCTCTGGGGATCTCTTTCAGGAGGAGATTGGTGGATTCTTTCAATTTCTGTTTTGCCCTCTGGTTCTAAAATATCAGGACAGTTTTCCTTGATAATTTCTTGAAAGATGATGTCTAGGCTCTTTTTTTGATCTTGGCTTTCAGATAGTCCAAAAATTTTTAAATTCTCTCTCCTGGATCTATTTTCCAGGTCCGTTGTTTTTCCAATGAGATATTTCACATTGTTTTCTAATTTTTCATTCTTTTGGATTTGTTTTACAGTGTCTTGATTTCTCATAAAGTCACTAGCTTCCAATTGCTGTATTCTAATTTTTAAGGAAGTATTTTCTTCAGTAAGCTTTTGGACTTCCTTTTCCATTTGGCCAATTTTTCTTTTTAGGGCATTCTTCTCCTCATTGGCTTTTTGGACCTCTTTTGCCATTTGGGTTAGGCTATTTTTTAAGGTGTTACTTTCTTCAGTATTTTTTGGGGTCTCCTTTAGCAGACTGTTGACTTGTTTTTCATGATTTTCTTGCATCACTCTCAGTTTTTCTCTGCTTCTCTTACTTGCTTCTCAAAATCCCTTTTGAGCTCTTCCAAGGCCTGGTACTGATTCATATTTTTCTTGAAGGCTTTGGATATAGGAGCTTTGGCTTTGTTGTCTTCTTCTGGTTGTATGTTTTGATCTTCTTTGTCACCAAAGTAAGATAATATAGTCTGACTCTTTTTGCGCTGCTTGCTTATGACCCCAACCAATTACTTGAGTTTTAAACTCTTTGTTAAGGTAGGAGTCTGTTTCCAGTGTGGAGAATGTACTGTCCCAAGCTTCAGGGGTTTGTACATCTGTTTTCAGAGGTACCTCTAGGGACCTGAAAAGTGTCAGTTCTTCCAAGGTGATATGATAAGGGGTGAGGTGTTTCCTCTCCACCGCCACAACAAGCTCCACCCTGCCAGCACTCCTCCTCACCCAGGACCGCCCCTCAGAACTGTGACACAGATCCTAACATGGGCAAAGCAAGAGTTTCCTGCCTGAGCTCTGGCAGAGATCCCTACAATCCACCTCTGATCAGCCACTGGATTTCCTCTCAGTCTGTGGGCCGGAAGCTCAGGAGGCAGCTGCGGCCCGCACTCGGCACTTGCAGCTGAGACCTAGCTCCTTCTCTCACCACAGTCACAGACTTTTCCCACTGACCTTCTAAGTTGTCTTTGGTGTTCGTGGGTTGAAAAGTCTGGAAACCGCCATAGCTGCCTGTGATTCAGTCCTCTGAGGCCTGCTCCAGGGTCGCTGTGGCCTGCGCGCCCCCGCCGAACTGCGCTCCTCTCCCAGCCCGGCGCAGTATACCTTTCCAATAAGCATCCAGGTTGTCTTGGGCTGGAAATTTGTTTTACTCTGTTTTTTTTGGTGGGTTCTGCTGCTTTAGAATTGTTTAGAGCCATTTTTAAAGGTATTTGGAGGGGTTTGGGGGACAGCTGTAGCGAGTCACTGCTTTCCCTCCGCCATCTTGGCTCTGCCCCCCCTCACCTATTTCTTTAGGAAGTAATTCACATTCCCTCTGCCTCAAAACTATGATTTTAAAAAGTTGGATCTTTGTTTCAAAATTCATTTCCTTTCTTTACTCTTTTTAGTGCATCTATGGAAGACCTGGTGGGCCAGTATTTACGCGAAGCTCTTCTGCTGCTGTTTTACATCATCACCAAAACCCAGAACTTTATGACGAGGTGAGGGATATTTGTAAGATTAAAATGGATTTAGCTAGTTTTAGGCATTTCTCTTCATTGCCCACTTGGGAAAAAGTGACCCCAAGGGTCAGGATGCCCTGACTGAATTAAATGTTTCAGTTTCTTAAATTCAAATGTCAGTTATCTTCACCTCAGAATGTTACTCTAATTTGGGCAGGGGTGGGGGAGATATCCAAATGTCTGATTTAATCAGGTTTAGAGAGCTTCCACAGGGGAACTCCCTTTACCCAAGCAGATCTTTAACTTTTAGTCTTAGAGATTTCCTTCTCTTGCTCTGAGAGATTAAGTAATATACCCAGAGTTATATGGCTACTGCATGTCAGAGGTGCTTGAGGCCAGGGCTTTCTCTCTCTGAGACCTATCCACTGGTCCTCATTGCTTTTCATTATTATAATTAGAATACCTTGAATTAAAATTATTGGAAAATTTCTATTAAAAACCACATGCTCCACCAAGTTCTTTTTTGCCATTCCTTGATGTAACCTTGTGTAAAGCAACTGTGGTGTATGCTGCTTTTTTTTTTCATTTAAATATGAGTCCGTTCATTAATCAGTCAACGTTTATTAAGCAACCTACTATGTGCCAGGCACTATGCAAATATCTTCCTAAGTGGAGGTTATTGGTTAACTCCCCACTTGTTTCTGCTTTGGGTGACATGCATGTTGTGCCACCGTGCTGGCCAAGAATTTTTGTCAGTTGTTTGGGAGTAATCAATAGCACTGGTATTCTCTTTCTTGCGTTTTCAGATTAAAATAGAACTGCCCACACAGCTCCATGAAAAACACCATTTGTTGTTCACGTTTTACCATGTCAGCTGTGATAATTCCAGTAAAGGAAGCACGAAAAAGAAAGATGTTGTTGAAACACAAGGTTTGGTCTAACAGCGTTTTATTTTAGTCATTTTAAGTTTGCTTCTCAGATCATTTTCTTGTTTTACTTGGAAACCATTTTGTTGCTGACTAAAAACATTTTTTGTATAATGTTTTAATATTTGTGGTGTGCAGAGGTGGCTCACCTAGTCTTTTGTTAACATTTTGCAAACTGTAATTTTAAATTCTTAATCTAAAAAGAACAAAACACCTATTAAAGTATCTTTATAGGCCCATGTTCAGGAGTCTCATTCTACTATAATTTATAAATCTTTTGCCCTAAAGGGAAGATTGATTCCGTGTTGCCAATGGAAAAATTTTTTAAAATTCCTTCCTCTGGCATTCAAGGTCCTTCCGCTGTTATGTAATACCCCACTTTTCCAGCCTGATCTCACACTACTCCCTTGTACACACACTACTTGCCTTCCCCTATACTAGTCCTATACCATTTGGCCTCCATACCTTTGTCCATATGTTCTTTGTATCAGGCATGCCTCTGCCTCCTTGCATGCTGAAACCTTACATGTCCTTTAAAGTCCGGCTTAGATGCTAACTCTTTTATGAATATGGCCATCCTTGGTCCCCACATCAGTAATGATCCCCCCCAACCTCCATTTGAGCTTGCCTAGCATTTGCTTATACCCTGCTTACGTATTTACCTTGTATATTTATTATTATAATTATGTGTGTATGTATGATGACCTCCCTCTGGATTGTGAGTTCCATGAGGGCAGAGACTTTGTCTTATTTAATCTATATATCTCTCTTAGTGCCTGGCACAGTGCTCTGCTTGTAGTAATCACTTAACAACTCCAAACTGGACTCTTTACAGGCCAAGCACCTTTGCATAACAATTTTTCATTTGAAACTGACCTTTCCTCCTTTTCTTCCAGTTGGATATTCTTGGCTTCCACTCCTGAAAGACGGAAGGGTGGTAACCAGTGAGCAGCACATTCCTGTATCGGCTAATCTTCCCTCTGGCTACCTTGGCTACCAAGAGCTTGGAATGGGCAAGGTATAAAATCCCTAGGGATTTTTTTCCCCGGTGTTTCATCAGAGCATGTCAAAGACCATGCAAGAGACAGGAGGGAGCAGTATTTCATTTTCAATTATTCATATTAAAGGAGGGTAGGAGAAGAAACAGACAATGCTGATAATGTTAATATGATCTCTGGGGCTAGGCCAGCATTACCTTCGGAATGTTTTAGGGTAGCTGTCCCAGGGGAGCCTTTGCAGTGAAACAGAGATATCTATCTTAGTCAGGGTTTGTCTGTTCCTGGATATGCAGTGGCCTCTTTGTGAAAGGACCATGCCCAAAAGCCGAGAACTACTTAGAACCACTCACCATCATTAGGATTTTTGACCCTGGCTTCAGATAAGCAATATGAAGAAACCTTTGTTCTTTGTCTCTCTTTGCTTTTCTAATTCAGCAAAGCTTGGATGTTTCACCAATCTTTTTAATAAGTTTAATTGTTCCCCCCCCATCCTTAAATTTTACTCCATTTATATTGCTTTCTAAGTGTGTGTACTATGTCAGCTGTTTTCGAATGGTCCTCTGAGGTCTCTTTTTTGTTGTTGTTTTTGCATTTGGCCATAGCTAATTGGAACTCTCTGGTACGCCAGAGTGTATCCCTAGGATGAAGGTAAATGATATTTTTTTCAGGGAGGCAACAATGACAGGATAAATAGAGTGTTGAATTTACAATCGGGAAGACTTGGATTTAGCTCCTGCCTCAAACGCTAATTGTCTAGTTATGGATGAGGTATTGAACTTCTATGAACCTTGTTTTTCCTATCTGTAAAATGGGGATAGTAATTGCTATACTACCTTCTTCACAGTGTTATTCTCAGATTCAGTTGAGACAATATATGTAAAGTGCTTTCAAACATAGTTACTATATACTTGTCAGTTATTATTGTTATTATTATAGTTTATAAACAAAAAATTTAAATTACAGATGTTAAATAAATTTTTAGATATTTAAATGATTTATTTGCAGAGACAGACATACTCCCCAAATAGTCAGTCTTCTCCAGTATGCTAAATTATGATTAAGTTACAGATAGTGTGGGGATTGTATTTATTCTCAACCCAGAATTGAAATGACATTGTCAGCTAACAGGCTAAATACAAGAGTGATTTGGAAAAAGTGGAATGAGTACCATACTTTAAGTCAGACTTGTTGAAACCCCAATTTGAAACAGAGTCTGTCCTAAGAAAGAGACAAATGAAATTAGGGTATTTGTGTCACCATTTTAATTTCTCTCGAGCTAGATTGTCATACATTGCATGGGAGTTGAGTCCAAAACTGGAGGCCCCCTAAGGGGTCCCATTGAGAATTGGCTCAGTTTGGGAGTTGGGGTACAGGGTTATATGCCCTTCGAAGAGTAAGGGTTCCCAAGGGATGCCAATCAACTCTGGGAGGTGGGATATAGTAAAATGAGGGTCTTTGAATACATGGCTCAGATCACTTAAGCCTGATCCAAGAGACATCAATTTCCATCTCACCTGTCTTGACAATAGGGAGGAACCAACATTTTCTCAGTCCTCTCTGGACAATACAATGAGCAGGAATAGACCCATTTAGATTAGATCTTAATGTCCTTCTGAAGAACTGAACTTTTTTTTAAGAAAGGGAGATGAGGAAGCTCTGAATCTCCAAGATAATAGTTACTAAGAAAAAAATCATTTTTCATAGACTTAGGTTTTGTTTTTATTCCCATTCTGCTAGTACCTAGCTTGTCATTCTGAATGAGTCACCTTCTTGAAGCCTTTTTATGTCGCCTGAAGATCCTCTTCAGATCTGAAATTCTATGTTTTTATCATTATTTTATCTTCCTGAAAGCACCCCCCCACTCCCTACCCAAACTGTGATTTAGCATGAATAAGGGAACTAGCTGTGTTGATATTTTATTTTCTGTTTTCCATATTCATTCAGCATCATGGGCCAGAAATTAAATGGGTAGATGGAGGCAAGCCGCTGTTGAGAGTTTCAACGCATCTAGTTTCTACTGTGTATACTCAGGTAAATGATATTCTGGTAACATGAATGGAAGAGCTGTGTAGCTAAAGGCTCGTGTTTTTTGGAAAAACAAAGTCCTACTTTTTACTCTACTTTATAAACACTCTGTATTAAGCTCAAGTTTATTTGTTCTTTTAGTAGAGCAAAGTAAAAAAAAAAAGTACACTATGGTTTTAAATCATCAGCTCTGGATAAGTCTGGATAGAAATAAAGTGTACAGATAAAAAGAAAACTTCCCTTTTTTTGAGATATCTTAGAGCAATTTAATATGGTTGGTAGCTCTTATTTATCATTTTCACAGTTTCATAAAGCATTATTGATCATGCATGCTTTAAGAATGGACATGTTTCTCTTCCTAAAAATGAAAAAGAAATGTAGTTGCATTTCTCTTAGCATTTCTAAGTAAAAGTAAAACAATTGGGCTCTTCAGCTAAATATTTTGACTTGTTTCTGAAAATTTCATTACCTTGATGAATTTTTTTTGTCTTCTCTCCTAGGATCAGCACTTACATAATTTTTTCCAGTACTGCCAGAAAACAGAATCTGGAGCTCAGGCCTTAGGGAATGATCTTGTAAAATATCTTAAGGTATTAAATGACTTTCTCTTTAGAGAATATATTTTTAAAATAAGTTTGCCATTGGGTGTGTTCTTGTCTGGACTGAAATGATATTCTTTCACTGCAGAGCTCAGTAAGGGTTCTTTTTAAGAGAAGAGAAACTGACTTGAAGGTCTTTGTATGTGATGATAATAATTCACATTTATTATCCTGGATTTTTAAGAATAATGATGTTAGGAGTGACAGATGCTACTCCTGACTTTATCCCCATTCCATCTCTAACATCTTCCATAGTTTTCACACATGCCCCTCTAATCTTTCATACAATCATCCTTCTTTATGTAAGCCTTACTTCAATCAGTCAATATTTATTGTGTGCCCATTCTGTTTTGAGGTCTATAACTTAGGTATAATGGGAAGCAGGGCATCATTCCTGCCTTTGAGAAGCTAATCATTTAATAGAGGGAGAAAAGGCAAGTACTAGTAGAAATGTAAGCCAAAACACAAAGTTATGCTACCTTGAAGAATGTCTCCAGGTTTCATTGTCAAACAAAATACAATGACTGGATGGATCTCTGGTTGGACCCAGTAAAATTTTTCATTTTTTTTCCTATTTTCATAATACTCATACATCTCAAGGTCCTTTCTGAGACAGGATATGAGAGGTCTTTATCTCATGTCCCATGATTATCTGCCATCTGATTATCTGCCTTTGCTGTTTTCCCTCTTTCAATAAAAATTCATATTATATAGATTCCAATTTGATACCTCATCTACTCTGTTTTCCTATAATTTACATCCAATGGAAAGATGAGTAATCATGGCTTTATATAAGTGTTTATGGGGGCTGCTAGAATCATTGGAGGGGCTAGAGCCAGGCAAACTTAGTCTAGGAAGGCTCAGACCATGAAGTAAATCTAGAGTGGTGTTTGGAAAGAGAGAAAGGTTTACATGATTTGTTGGGCAGGAGTTGAGGGGGCCCAGCATGTGGTTTGCAAAGAACAATGAAGTGATTTGCTTGACTTGGCTAGAAGACAGTGAATTGGGTTTTCTCAAATTTATGCCTTCTCAATAACATCTCTTTTGCTTTTCCATATAGAATTATTTTATTTTTATTATATTCATGTTAGTAATTTTTTAAAAATTTACCTTTCTTAAAGCATATTTTAATTCTAGTTTAAGTTCCTCTTCTGTTTCTTTAATTTCTGTAAGAGCTCTTATATCCTTTTGTAATTTGTTTTTACCAGTGTTAGTTCTTGCTTAAATTCTTTAAACACATCCTTTTCTGTCTGAGGACTTCTTTCAGATTGTCTTGTGGTGTTTTTATCCATCTGAATTGCCTTGGGTATTTTACTTGTTTTATTTGCTATTATAGGATTTTTAAAAAATTGTATTATATTCTTTGTTTTAGATGTTTTCATTTTCTTTGTAATTGTTTCTTTGTACTGTATGTTTTTAGCTATTGTTCTTTTCTCTCTCTCTTTTTTTTGAGGGGAATGTGAACAACTTGGCTCCCAAAACCTCTCACTATGTCATTTTGACTAAAGACCCTTTTAAACTTTAGATTCATCTCTTATTTATAAGAGCACCGACATATAGAATAAGCTTTGGTTGGAATAGTTTATTCTAGGTGCATACTCCAAAGAAGTTAAAAAAAAAAAAAAAAAAGCAAAAACAGAAAGAAAAGTCTAAGATAGTGGTGTCAAACACCACAGATTAACATTATCTATATTCTATTGTATTTTTATTTATTTTATTAACTTTTTCCCAATCACATTTTAATTTGGTTTGGCCACCATTACGGGTTTTGGGGGCAGCCAATAGGCAGTGAGTTTAATGCCTCTGGTCTAGAAAATCCCAAAATAGTCATTTTGGTACTTTTTTGTGGACTCAAGGAAATGGAAATAAACTCGGTAACCTTTTACTTAGGGAATGGTTGAATTAACAGTAGTATGTTAATATTAGTGTGCAATAAAAAATGACAAATGTGAGAAATTCAGAGAAACACGATAATAATAAGAGTATTAATAATAGCTAAAATTTATATAGTGCTTACTATGTGCCAGACACTGTGGTAAATGCTTTATAATTATTATCTCATTTCATCTTCACACCAACCCTGGGAGATAAGTGCAGTTATTATCCCCATTTTACAGATGAGCAAATTGAGGCAGACAGAACTAGAAGAGTCATATGAGCCAGGACCATAATGGAAAAAACCTTAATCCTCTTGGAGAATAAATAATGAAATGTACCTCCCTCCTCTTGTCAGAGGAGTGGGGCACTACAAGGGAAGATTGTCGTGTTCAATTGTCATTATGTTTTTCTTAGGTACAAGAGAGGGTTCAGTCCTAGATATAAAGGCATATCCAAAAATGCCTCAGCACATTGTATTGAGTGCTGGGCTTGGAGTCAGGAAGACCTGAGTTCAAATTTGGCCCACATACTTTCTAGCAATATGACCTTGTACACATCACTTAACTTCTATTTGCTTTTGTTTCCTCATCGGCAAAATGGGATGATAATAATAGCACCTTTCTCTAGGGTTATTGTGATGATAAGATGAGATAACATATCTGTAAAGCTTTTCATAAACCTGGCCATTATTATTATAATTAATAATAATTATAATTATTATAATATATTACAAAAGACATCAGTATACTTTATTATTAAATAGTAATAACTAGCATGTCATTTTCTATCTGTAGAGTCTTCATGCAATGGAGGGTCATGTCATGATAGCTTTCTTGCCCACCATCCTCAATCAGCTCTTCCGAGTTCTCACCAGAACTACCCAAGAGGAAGTAGCAGTCAATGTGACAAGGTAAGGTGAAAACACCATATCTTTGAGCATGTCAGTATATGAAGCTTGTCATAGTTCCCTATCCTAGTGAAATCCCAGATCTGTTCCATATGCCTCTCCCATTCATATGTACAACTGAAGTTTTCCCATCTATTTCTTATTTTCGTATCATATTGGTGGCATCACTGTTTTTTTCTTGTTTTGCCTCTGGATCTGTGATTTCATCTGCTGGTGGAACTCCTAGTATGGAAACTCCTTATACTGGTACAGATCAGGAATTCTTGTGCAGCTTAAAGTCTGAGAGAGTCATCTGGGACATTGAGAAGTTAAATGACTCACCCATAGTCTGTGTCCATAGAATATAGAATGAAGGCAGGTCTTCATAAAGTTCTGCTTACTCCATGCTTCCTGTCCTAAACAGCATTTTACTTAACAGATTTGTTAACAACATCTATGTTAGAACTGAAACTTGAATGGTTTCCTTTCAACATTAAGGCTCATTGATTTATTTTTCCTTTTGATGGCAGAGTCATTATCCATGTGGTTGCCCAGTGCCATGAAGAAGGATTGGATAGCCACTTGAGGTCCTATGTAAAGGTATGTTGGTATCCTTCCGTTGCAAAAAAAGAAAAATCCTATGGATTTGCATTGTAGATATTTTGGATTTACTTACCCAAGTACATGTTTTTTCCTCAGTAGGATATGAATTTCTTGAGGGCAGGAACTGTTTGGCTTTTGCCTTTATATTTCTAGCACCTAGTATGGTGCCTTCCTTATAGTAGATACTTAATAAATGTTTATTCAGTGAATGAATGAGTACGTGAACAAATATCTTCATTCCTATAAAACATTCTTCTGAAGTTGGTTTCATCAAAAATGATTTAAAACTGTGGCTCTTTAAGATTCGCACTAGAGAACTCTTCAGTATCTTAATGCGTTTTAAAAAATACTCTTTCCCTTTTACTTAAATGTCAACGTCAGGGAATTGTTGAACTCTGAGTGAAGATGGAAGTATATTTTTTTCACTTTTCTTATTTTTCTTGCTTTTTTTTAATGTAGCTAATCTGGAAATATGTTTTGCATGACTTCATATGTATGGGTATCATATTGCTTACCCTCTCAATGGGTGGGAGAAGGGATGGAGGGAGGGGAGAGCATTTGGAACGGAAAATAAAATGAATGTAAAAAAAAAATTAAAAAAATAAATGTCATTGTCTATGCTACACAGTTAATGTTTATATTAGAACTGGGGAACCCACTTTGAAGCTTCAAATTTTTCAGTTTGGGTTGGGCTTCTTTTTTTAAGTACCAGTAACAAGATCTTTCTATACACAAAATGTAGCAAACATAATCATCCAAAGAAGTTCTATCATAAAGAAAGCATTTAAAAATTTCATGAATGATAGATTATTAAAAGAAATTTAAATGTATTCTAGATAAATTTTTAACTAAGAAGGATATAAATTACCAAATTGTCCTGCGGGACATCTATTGACTTCACAGTCAAAGCCATAATAAAGCAAAAAGTTAGACTCAGCATAAAGTTTCTTACATTCTTATTTTCATGTTTAGCCATAAATATCCCAGTGCCCTTTTCCCCCCACTCTCATCTCCTCCTGCTTTGCACATAGTAAGCAATTAATAAATGTTTGTTGACTTGTGACTTGAATTTATTTCTTCTGGCAAGCTAAGTTCTGGCTTGATGGCTTGCCTGCCTAATTCCCATCACATCCCTCCCTTCCTCTGTATGTTTCAGTTCTTGGGGCAGATCTTTTCCTCTGGAACTTTTAACCACTGCATCAACCTCACCTTGAGACTATAACCAGGTTGTAGGGCCTATTTAAATCTCATTTTACCTTCTTTTTTTTCCCCCAAGTATGCTTATAAAGCTGAGCCATATGTTGCTTCAGAATATAAGACTGTGCATGAAGAACTGGCCAAATCCATGACCACAATCCTGAAACCGTCTGCTGACTTCCTTACCAGCAATAAACTTCTCAAGGTAGGTAGGAAGACTTGAGTCAGTGGTTTGCATTGCTTAACTATTTGCTGTGTAACAAGGATAGCTTCTGTGAGAATTCAGGAGTGATGGTGGTGTAAATAAAAACCTGTTAAAACGCCCATAAAACATTTATAAATAAAAGAAAACATCAAAGCTCTGCAGTACTAATGCTGAGCCAATGCAAGTCCAAGACCGTGGAGTAATACAGGAGCTAAGTTCAACCAACCCAGAGTTCCCTTCCACATGTGTCTAAGCAAGATTCTGAAGCCAGAGTACAGGTAACAGTATTATGTAACTGCACTCGGAGACACCCCCTCCTCGTTCTCCACTATCACTGAGTAATTGTATTTAGATGCAAAATGACCAGACAGCACTTTGGAGTAGAGATTTTTATACAGGACATTGTTCTTGTTAGTTTTTCATATGACTACGCGTTTCTTTCTTTTCAGTATTCGTGGTTTTTCTTTGAAGTTTTGATAAAATCCATGGCTCAGCACCTGATAGAAAACTCGAAAGTCAAGGTATGTTATCTGCTCTCTAGGAGCCAGTGCTAAGCAGCACCTCTGACCTCATCCTCGCCCAAGGGAAGGGTTGCCTTTTCCTTCTAACGTCCTAATTAATGCCTTAAACTTGGTTGAAGTACAAGAGTTATTTAAAACTAAGCATCTCTATTGCCCCACTTATAAAGCCTGAGGGTTCGGATCATAAATCGCCTACCCAAACTATTTTAGCCCCCGATCATGATGATGATGATGAAAACGCTTGACAATTATGTTTCAGCAAACTTTAATTAAACACCTACAATAGGCATAATAATGTCCTAGGCATCAGGGAAGATAGAACAATCATAGAAGACTTGGCTCTGCCATGCAACTCACAGTCTTGTTGGGAAATCCAACTTGTAGACAAATAAACATAATACAAAATGATATATCATGAGTCTACAATTCTATTTTAAAAGTATTACTTAATTACCTACAATATTACTGTACTATGTTGCACATATATAATATGTATTATTTATATGTATAATATATTATAATGTGTTACTATATTATGTATATTATACCTATTATATGTTATATATTTGTAAATATAATTTTTATATTCATGTTATATCTATTTGTATTTATAATTTATCATTATAATATCTATTTTATTTGTGTCTATTTCTCAATATTTATATTGTATCTATTATATAGATATATCTATTATTATAGATACTTGTAAATATATTATTTTTGATATTATATATTGTTTATATAATAATTATATATGAGAAACTTTTCAAAACATTAAGTGCTAAATAAATATTAGCTATTATTCTTATGATTATTTGAGGAAGAAAAGAACATTAGCAACTAAGGGGATTGCAGAAGGCTTCCCAGAAGTGGTGGCACATGATCTGAGTCTTTTTTTGTTTGTTTAAATTTTGTGGTAATTTTTATTTTTTTTTTGTTTTCAACATTTACTTCCACAAGATTTTGAGCTCCAAATTTTCACCCCATCTCGCCCCTCCCCCCACCCCAAGATGGCATGCATTCTGAATACCCCTTCCCCTAGTCTGCCTTCCCTTCTATCTCTCCCCCCCACTTCTCTTATCCCTTTCCCCTTCCATTTTCCTGTAGGGCAGGATGGATTTCTGTACGCCATTTCCTGTATTTCTTATTTCCCAGGTGCATATGAAAACATTTTTTTTAAACATGTGTTTTTAAAACTTTGGGTTCCAAATTTTCTCCCTTCCTCCCTCTCCACCCACCCTCATTGATAAGACAAGCAACTAAATATAGGTTATATATGTGCAGTTACGCAAAACACTTCTATAGTAGGCATGCTGTGAAAAACTAACTCTATTTCCCTTAATCCTATCCTGCCCACCCATTTATTCTATTCTTTCTTTTGACCCTGTCCCTCCTCAGCAATATTTGCTTCTGATTACTCCCTTTCCCAGTCTGCCCTCCTCTCTATCATTCCCCTACTCTCTTGTCCCCTTCCCCCTCTATTTTCCTGTAGGGTAAGACAGATTTCCACACCCAATTGAGTGTGTATGTTATTCCCTCCTTAAGTCAAATTCTATGAGAATAAGATTCACTCATTCCCTCTCACCTTCCCCCATTTCCCCTCCACTGTAAGAGCCTTTCCTTTTCTGTTTTTGGTTTGGTTTTTTTTTTTGTATGGGATAATTTACCCCATTCTACATCTCCCTTTCTCCTTCTCCTAGTATAATCCTCTCTCACCCCTTAATTTTATTCTCCAGATATGACCCCTTCATTTTCAACTCACCCTGTGCCCTCTATCTATCTATCTGTATCTATATATATATATATGTACATATAATTTTTTCCCCTCCAACTACCCTAATACTGACAAAGGTCTCATGAGTTACAAATATCATCTTTCCATGCAGGAATGTAAACAGTTCAACCTTACTAAGTCTCTTATGATTTTCTCTTTCCTGTTTACCTCTTCATGTTCCACTCGAGTCTTGTATTTGAAAATCAAATTTTCTATTCAACTCTGGTCTTTTCATCAGGAATGCTTGAAAGTCCTCTATTTCACTGAATGACCATATTTCCCCCTGCAGGATTATACTCAGTTTTGCTGGTTAGGTGATTCTTGGTTATAATCTGATCTCGTTTGCTCTCCGGAATATTATATTCCATGCTCTGCAGTCCCTTACTGTAGAAGCTGCTAAATCTTGTGTTATCCTGATTGTGTTTCCACAATCCTTGAAGTGTTTCTTTCTGGCTGCTTGTAATATTTTCTCCTTGACTTGGGAACACTGGAATTTGGCTACAATATTCCTAGGAGTTTTGCTTTGGGGATCTCTTTCAGGAGGAGATTGGTGGATTCATTCAATTTCTGTTTTGCCCTCTGGTTCTAAAATATCAGGACAGTTTTCCTTGATAATTTCTTGAAAGATGATGTCTAGGCTCTTTTTTTGATCTTGGCTTTCAGATAGTCCAAAAATTTTTAAATTCTCTCTCCTGGATCTATTTTCCAGGTCCGTTGTTTTTCCAATGAGATATTTCACATTGTTTTCTAATTTTTCATTCTTTTGGATTTGTTTTACAGTGTCTTGATTTCTCATAAAGTCACTAGCTTCCAATTGCTGTATTCTAATTTTTAAGGAAGTATTTTCTTCAGTAAGCTTTTGGACTTCCTTTTCCATTTGGCCAATTTTTCTTTTTAGGGCATTCTTCTCCTCATTGGCTTTTTGGACCTCTTTTGCCATTTGGGTTAGGCTATTTTTTAAGGTGTTACTTTCTTCAGTATTTTTGGGGGTCTCCTTTAGCAAGCTGTTGACTTGTTTTTCATGATTTTCTTGCATCACTCTCAGTTTTTCCTCTACTTCTCTTACTTGCTTCTCAAAAATCCCTTTTGAGCTCTTCCAAGGCCTGGTACTGATTCATATTTTTCTTGAAGGCTTTGGATATAGGAGCTTTGGCTTTGTTGTCTTTTTCTGGTTGTATGTTTTGATCTTCTTTGTCACCAAAGTAAGATAATGTAGTCTGACTATTTTTGCACTGCTTACTCATGACCCCAACCAATTACTTGAGTTTTAAACACTTTGTTAAGGTAAAAGTCTGCTTCCAATGTGAAGAGTGTACTGTCCCAAGCTTCAGGGGTTTGTACATCTGTTTTCAGAGGTACTTCTAGGGACCTGAAAAGTGTCAGTTCTTCCAAGGTGTTATGATAAGGGGTGAGGTGTTTCTTCTCCACCACCACAACAAGCTCCATCACACCAGCATTCCTCCTTGCCCCAGGACTACCCCTCAGAACTGTGACCCAGATCCAAGTACTGGGAAAGCAAGAGAGTCCTGCCTCAGCACTGGCAAAGAGATCCCTGCCATCCCCCTCTGATCAGCCACTCGATTCCCCCTCAGTCTGTGGGCTGGAAGCTTGGGAAAAAGCCACGGCCCCAGGCCGCACTCAAGACTTGGAGCTTAGACCTAGCTCCTCTCTCACTCCAGTCACAGACTTTTCCCACTGACCTACGTTGACTTTGGCGTTCAGGAGTTGAGAAGTCTGGAAACTGCCACAGCTGCCCAAGATTCTGAGGCCTGCTCCAGGTTCGTTGCGGCCTGTGCACCCACACGGCACTGTGCTCCTCTCCCCGCCCTGCACAATATACCTTTCTGATAGGCCATCCAGGCTGTCTTGGGCTGGAAATTTGTTTCACTTTGTCTTTTTGTGGGTTCTGCTGCTTTAGAATTTGTTTAGAGATATTTATTTAGGTATTTGGAGGGCTTTGGGAGAGAGCTCAAGACAGTCACTGCTTTCCCTTCGCCATCTTGGCTCCGCCGCCCCCCCCCCCCCCAATGATCTGAGTCTTGAAACAGTGATACATTGCAGGAAACAGAGATGAGGTGGGAGTACCTTCCAGTCCCATGCACAGGCCCCTAAGGCAAGAGATGGAAAGCCAAGTTTGGGGAGCATCAAGAACAGCAGTTTGTCTGCAAAGGGGAGTATATGAAGGGAAAGAGTATGCAATGAACATGGGAAAAGCCACTGGACCCAGACTGTGAAGGGTCAAACAGAGAACTTTGTCCTTTATTCTATAGGTGATAGAGAACCGGGGAGCAAGAGGAATGGGCATGTGGCCCTTATAGTCTAGTAGGGGGCAGGAATATGATACAGACAAAGATAATCTGTGTGTAAAGGAGATGGCATGCCAGCTCCTACTCAGTACTCAAGCGGGAAGTGATTGTTATTGGCATGGAACATCTGGGAAGGGATTCATGGACAACGGGTCATTTGAATTGCTCGTGAAAGAATGGGTCAGCAGGTGGCAAGCATAGAGAACCTCATGAGGCCGCACTTTGGATAGAGCAAGACCTGAAATCATAAAGACCTGAGTTCAAATGTAGCTGTAGACACTTACTAGCTGTATGATCCTGGGCAAGTCACTTAGCCTCTATCTGACTCACTTGAGAAGAGGCTGGAAAGGTCAGGCAGTATACAATGTTGTGAAAAGCTTTGAATGCCAGGCCAAGCAATGCGAACTTTGTTCTGTAGGCTATCTGAAGCCATTCAGAGGTTTTGAGCAAGCTGTATTGATCAGATCTGTGTTTAAGAAAGGTATATCTGGCCATGAAGCGCATTAGATTAGAGAGATCAATCAATCAACAAGCATTTATTAAACACTTACTATGTACCTAGCACTGTGCTTACCACTAGGGATACAAAAGAAAGGCAAAAATAATTCCTGCCCTCAAGAGGCATACGTTCTAATAAAAAAGAAAAACATTCAAATAACCGACTACATAGGAGAAATAGGTATAAGAGATCAAAGATAACATGGGGAGAAGACGTTAACTAGTACGTAAGGAGACAAGGACATCCACCCTGCACAGGGTCAGATTTGAACCAAGTCTTGGAGGAAGACAGGAATTGAGAGGATACAGGTAAGGATTTGGAGTCAGAGAACCTGGGTTTGAGTCCTAGATCTGGAATTTTGGGAAAGTTGCTTCTTCCTTTAATTTTATCTGCAAAAAAATGAGGGAAAGGAGACAAGTTG